TATATATATAAAATTAACCATTTGTATAATTTCATTCATCTATATCATATTCATTATACTCTATATATTCTTGTGGGCAGTTCACCTTTATGCCACTTTATATTTATGTACCACTCGGCCGCTATGGTCTGTCGTAGTGGTTGTACGCTACGCTTTTACGGGTAAACATTCTTGTTCATATATCCCCCTATGTGTGTTGAATATGTTCTATGTTATAGCTAGCTGATTACTGGTGATTTTCTTTGTTGCCTGATCTATTGGGTTTTTGTTTTGGTTTTTCTGTTTGTCTCTCAATTAACGATCTAGTTAAGCTCACGCATCTGATTTTTCTCTCTCGGACAGAAACTGTCGCATCAATACAATGACTAGACAAACGCATTACGTGGCACTCACTTGTCAATTCCCCTATTTGATATTGTTTCTTTGTTCATAATTCACAAGCACACAGATGTAGACCCACAGCTACCGTTTCTGCTCAGCTATTTAACATAGATGACATCCCTTCATGATCGTCTTCAATCAGCAGATCGATCAATCTTACAGTTTTATCAAATATCCGTCTTCCAAATTCACTCTAGGTGTGTGTGTGTGTGTGTATATATATATATATATATATATATATATATATATATATATATTCAGCAAACGTTTCATCATCTCCTTCCTGTAGATACTCATTGCCTTATCACTTTCAATTGTACAGGTAATATATACAATATATAGGCGCGTTTTGTGTGGACCCGTCGCCAGTGAAGACGGACGCTCATATCGGTAGCGTCACATAGTATTATTTCCGCTAAAAATAGTTTTTCCTTTGTGTTCCTGGATTGAGAGAGCAGTTTTAGTTTGCCTGCTTTCGTATGTTCCACGCCCGCATTTCTATATATTGATGCTGATATAGTAATGCAAAAGCGACTAGTTCTAGACGTTAGCGGAGCACAGAAAAACTCAAAAGCTTTGTTCTCTTTTTGCAAGCATGTGTGTATAATGGCGAATTAGTTAGTGGCATGTGCTTGTTTGTAGACTTGTGTCGGACCGAGGTCTCGTAACGACACAGATAAACCTAATTGCTACGCGCTAAAGGGTCAGGCTATGTAAATTAAACAATCTGTTGTATGAAAATGTTGCCAACAACCTGAAAACGAAAACCACGTAACGTATTTGGCAGATGCCCAAAGGCGAATCATGCCACGGAAACAGTTTGCCGTTCACCTTTATTCACAGCTAATTTTGTTAATAATAAACAATGACATAAACGATGGATGGCATCCACTCTTCTTTGTCGTTTACATACAGATACATCTCTTGATGTTTATATCACCCTTAATTTGCACCTCCATTATTGTTTAGTTTCGGATAGTCCTCGAAGACTAGCAACCTCAACTGTTCCACTTCGACTAGAGTAGATTGAAGTGGGCAACGTTAAATGTTTCGGGACAGTTTTTTTTTATTGACCCAATGCTAAATCATACTGGTGTTAAACATATTATTTCTTTCATGCTTCTATTGATCTACAAGTGTCAATAAGACCAGAGCAACAATCTTTGGTTTTCTTTTTACTGTAGCTCATAAAGACCAAAAATAATATAGAAAATAATACTGTCGAGCGCTACAAAATCCCTTTTTCACCCCTTCCATTCAGCAACTCGAACCCCCAATGAGTTAATCGTTATGGCTTCATGTTTATTCATTATTGTTCTGTTCATTAAGACACGTATCAGTGTTCAAAGGCCTGCTAAGGATTACGACTCTTACTATATTTCAATGTCGGCAAATTATCATAAAAACAATTATTGCATTATTATCCTTTTTCCTAATCAGGAGTGACGTTTGACGTGACAAACATCGTCAACTCAGTTTGGCGGTTTCTACAATCCCCTAACGTTCATCTCGTAACACAGACTTACAGAAAAACACATTGTAAGTTAAATCAGCTGACCACAAACAACTGGCAGCCTCCGTTGGCAAGGGTTACGATTATCTAGACGCAGCATTTTTTGTGCACTCTATAAGCACACATAATTATATGTACATACAAATCATTAAATTAACATTTCACAGCGCTTCTAAATAAAAACCTTTAACAGTTGTCGTCTTCGAGAATCAGCTCTGCGCAACGCTAGCGGAAAGGTCATCAATCAAAGTTTTCAAGCGCCTTCAGTGTTCTATAGGGTTTTCATTATTTTCTATAACGAGCGTGTCAGACAATGAGCTCCCACCGTTCAATCACGACAATAGAGTTGACACGTGGAGGCTTCATTGTTGAGGGTCATGGTGATCTATAGTGGACAATAGATTGGACTAACTAGATCGCAAAAACTAACGATGACAGAACAAGCAAATCGGCGTTTTTGCGTAAATATTTCTTTTGTCCTTTTTTTTGCCTTTTTTTTGTTCTAGTTAGGAGCCGCCATCCATCAATGACCTGTCAAGACAAAGTGCGAACCCAGCAAATCGAGCCGCGTGTAAACTACCAACGTACAAAGCATGAGGTCAAATCGATTCACTTACACATACTTGTTACCTAGGTCGCTTCAAGTTAACTGCGTTTCAGCCTATTGTCCTTAAACTTTAGGGCACTCGGTCATGGCTGGACAAAACATAAGTAGCTCATTGGCCTGTAGTAGCACATACTTAACTTGCATTGATACTTCATTTGGACGGGAAAGCACTTATCATCTCTGGCTAAATATTTCTTGATATCATGTATACCGTACGGGCTAGTAGCCACCTAGCACCTTTCACAGCAAACGAGCCGGCACATCTGCTAAACTTTGTCCTGTTCCCTGATTTTCATGTCGACTAGTCGAAACATTGACGTAAATACTACACCTAGACAATCCGCGTGCGTGCTTCTAGAATACTCCTGTTGTGAAGGAAGGCCTTATTTCGCCGCAGCAATCGACGTTGAAAGGCTAGAATGCGCCGAAAATGTACACACAAAAACGAGTACAATATCATAATCTTTGATATCAATGTGGGCTTTGAACACAGCCAACGACTTCATAACCTTCTCAATAGTTATTTTTTTGGCGAATATATGTACTATAATAGCATATCTCACGTTGTCGATGTATCTACCTTATTCGGTATTCTTAGCTGCCTAAATACATAAGTTACTGTGTTGTGTAATTGTGTATAAACGTAGTTGTAACCTAAAAGTCAAATTAGAAAAATGAAGATTTTTCTTTAGGCGTGTGTAATGAAGAGGCCAACCGAATAGTTGGGTGTGGAGAAAAAGGTGTAGCACTACACAGGTTTTGTGTAATTGTTATGTCCTTAACCACTCAGTCTGTTTTGCTTAATTAATCGGCAGAGCTCTGCGAAAATGTTTTAAAAAGTGTATCCTCACGTCGTTTGTATGAATCATACGTCTGATGTATGTATTATTTACACCGTGTACTTATGTTCGTCTCCTTGAGACTCCATTACCGGACAGACGCTATCGAATGTCTCAAAGCCACTCCTATACTTTCGGATCGCGCTGGAACCTGCCCGGCCTTACAGCCACCGTGATTAGCGTAAGTTTAATAGTTTACTAACCCCGTCCTTCTTGCCTGTTGGTTAACTTCCTTGTAAAGGGCTGTTTCATTTTCATCGTGCAATTTAGAGAATTCTTAAGGCCGTGCGACATACTTACGCATTGAAGATGAGGATGTATGGTCTAGTATTTGTTATTGTGTACGTGCTCCTAACGTAGGTCAGAACGTTAGGCTCTCCTTTAGGACGGTCTTTGCTTCGGACGAGGCGAAAGTTAACTATAAATTGTTAGAGCAATTAAAAATATATAGTAAATTTTTGTGATTCTTCAAAATTTGTCGTTTTGAATTTGGGTGCTTATGAACGCAAGCAACAATTGTATGAGTGTCACTATTAGCATCCTGAGGTTTGCTGGATCTACCACCTGTTAATGTAGGCGGCATTTATCGATGTGTACATATCAATTTTCTATTGTGTTTAACGGTTTTACAGATCAAGCCTTTTTTCCGACGGTCTCCGTCCCACTTCGTTCATGATCACACCGGTGAGAGGTTGGGTGTCGCCCGCTTCCATGCTATCCAATGGGTCTCTTTCAGGGTCCGCTTCGTCTTTGTCCTGCTCCTGTCCGGAGTCAATTTCAGGCTCAGGAATTTCGTCAACTAATGTCATGTACTGCGACTCATTCGTAAGAAACTGCTCTAGGCGCGTCCGAACGTCCTTGATTCGTGCTCGTTCATGTGGCTGTGGTCGCCAGCACGTCAACATCACCTGACAATGACGACAGCAGCAATATCAACAACAACAGCTATGTTAAAGTCCAGTTAAACAAATGGTAAAAACGAAATCATTTAATAGCGATATAATTTTGACACGGGAGCAGAGTAATATCATCACTATAAGAAACGACAGTTGGAATAGCTATAATCATATACGTACGTTAGAACGTGCATGACGGAAGATCACACACGTGCACAGAGGCGAGAAAAGAAGAAAAAGTACAACAGTACCGAATAACAAGTTGATTACTATCTCTCTGCTTAACGCTGGCAGCGGTGTGGCGCAACACCATCGACGCTCTCGATTCGACCTATTGATTCTTGTGGGTCGTCTTCAGCAAATATCTAGTATTGTATTGCTGAACTAAAAAGCCCAACTATCTAAAAGCGTCCAAAAGTTATTATAGGAAACCAGTGACACAGATGAAAGTGACCCAGAGAAGTCCCGTAGAATTCAGTTACTATACATTACCAATTCTAAGAAACACGAATTGGCAATCGTTAACATTTTTTTACGATAACGCCAGGTCATTTTCAACGGCAATGTAAAGCAGAACTCGAGGAGAATCCCCTTCAACGGCTCTCATGTGTAGAATTTAAGTCCTAAAGTGGAGAGAACATTGCAGGAATCCTGCCAGCTCAATCTGGAAATGCTGAAACAACCTTATGTATAAAAACGTCTAACACCGTTTCCGAGTCGCCGCGACATTAAAGTATAATGTTTGCGTTATCAGAAGCAGTAAGTTCTAAATAATGAAATAGTCGCTGGGTTCGGTAGGGTCAGGGAGTATGTTTTATAATGTATTAGCATGCCATATGGAACGCTATAATTAAATGTTCGTAATAGGGTGTTGATACTTTCGTAATTGCCACTTGGTTGCTTTAAAGGACGCGTAATAAGTCGGTAATAACTGCAAGGAGACCAGTTAAATATTTTCGAAACATGAGAGGCAACTCTATCTATAGGGCCAAACCGCGCAAGATTCAGGGCAGAGATTGAATCTTTCTCTGGACGTCAGACGATCGCTAGGGAATATGTCTTCTTTATCTCAACAAAAAGAGGCGCAGCATGTCAGCAGTGATGAATTTCACAGCGATGTTCGAATAAAATGGAAAACATCCCGTAGTGGTAGGCAAACAATAACAAATCCACCAATGGAATACATGTAAAATATATATTGGATAGTAGGAATAGATATAACGGTCATGCTAAGTGTTTAGCGCATTGTGTAATGCCGAACGTCTGCTATAGACATGAAACTCGAAGTATTTTTAGTGAGGCAAAAAGGCGAAGGGGCACGTAATTACGCTGGTTCGTTATGCCGGCCCCAGGATCGCGAATCGGCTAAAGGTAGCATTAACAGCGTTCACCTGGACGATTCGTTGAAAGACTCGACATTTCCGCAGCCGAACAGAATGAATGTGGCGGTACACGGATGCGCGAAAGTGACAGGAGAAAGACAGCCGATTGAACTTGCATCAGTCTTACTGAGTTGAAGAATTAAGAGAAATTTATCGGTAGTAATCTTACAGAGGCCAGTTGGACCGAGAGACATTTTGATAACTTAACGTTCATTTAACTCACCATTCTAGCCACCCAGGTAACTAGAACCAGATTACTTACGAACTGCCCTTTTTTATATCACCAGTTTTGTATCAATATGCCTGAAGGGTACAGCTCTAGTCAACTAAAATAGAGCAAAGAAGTTGTACATTGTAACCCCAAAAATTGAATGAAAGTTATCATGCACATTGTTTATGATGCTGGGAGGTTCCCCAATAATCTACTGGCTAAGGTCGTAGCGATGTAGATAGAGGTGCAGACAACGGAATATCAAACTAAACAAATCTTTTTAATAATTTTTATAACTTTTTTTTGGATACAGATGATATTGGTAATTTCAAGAATATCTCAATACGCATGCTTCATTGTATCGCTAATTTTAGTGAATCCAAAGATGGTGAAAAGCGTTTACTTTAATATTACCTAATTAACTTTGCAAATTGAACACGCGTCTCACATTGGACCGATAAAAAGGTTGAAAAGGCTGACTGTCTTCTGCTATCGAGTAGCTGTCGCTTCGTGTCGAGCCATGCTCTGTTTTTTACACGCCTTTTTCACCTGCTTTTTAACTGGTACCAACGTGTTCTATTAATGATAGAAACGAAAACTTAAATTATACTCTCAACGAGGCTCAAAGGTAGTCTTTCTATGGAGCAGCGTGTCGATTGATAAATAATGAAATTTTCAGGCTCTTCATACAATACTGCCCAAAACCCCGACACCTATAGCTTACAGCGGCGTACCAAGTTCACACAGTGAAGCTACAAGTAGATCATAATCTTTAATTACACTCTGGTTGTGACCATTGAAAGAAAACTGAGTTTGCCATATAGTTTACTAATTTGTCGTTTACCAGGTCCTAGTTTGAAAAACTTTAATTTCTTAGGCAATGTATCATTTTGATTGTTGCAATAGTTAATTCCAATTGATTAAAATTGAACTGAGCATGTAAAGATTCAAAGGTTGCGCACGTTGGCCTGACGTAAATATTCTTGATCGTTACGTCTATTACACCGTTAAGTATTGCTACACACAACTGGGCCTTTTCAACACAAAACATGAAAAATATCTACGTTCGGTTCCGATCTTGGCCAAGCTCATATGTTGATAAACAAATAGATTACCACTGCATCATCATGGGTACCAGGACGTGACACGGTATGGTATTAACCGCTCACATGCACCTTCTTCTAGGGGCATGTGTACACATGGATTAGCAATAGCAAACCCCTCGCATGCTCCATCGCTGTTGTGTGCTAGTAAATTCTGACATTCGCGCATTACCGGCTGGCAGAATAACGCTTACCAAGCTCGGTATGTGGGATCTTAATTAATAATTTCTGCTTTATAAACCATTATTCGATTGGCGCATATGACATAACTAGGATTTTTTTTAGTCGGTAATTTTCAATTGTGTTCTTTTGTGACGCTTTGGTCCGGTACTGAGCAAATAGACTCAAGGCGACGACACTCTCTGCTAGCGCGCGCAATTTAAATTTGCAAGCTAATTTTTTAAATTTTCAATCGTGAGAAGAAAATTTACGAGGCAGTAGTTTTTTCTCTCACAGAGGTTTCTTATCGAGCGGTATCGGTCTACAAAAAAAAAAACCGTTAAAGCGGCAATTTCCCATTTATAGGTAAAATAATGATATTAGTACTCGAATGGCCAATTTTTTTAAATTCAATCATTAATTGCTTTTCCCATTCATGTGTTTGCTTTCACCCAATGCAACCACTTGTAAAGGTCGTTAGTGGGTCGGTAAATAAGAGGATGAGCGTGAAATGCTATGAACTCCTTCCGACGCCCACTCTCATAAGACATGGGCTCCCCTGGGGTGAAATTAAGTCGTTTACAGTTATCGCTCAAACAAGGTGCAGCACCTTCAGGAATTAATACACATACATAGAGCTTTCAGTATTTTTGTAATTATTATATATAGATTTAATGCTTCCAAAATTTCGGGCATAAATCGTAATTACCTGATAGATTTCGAGGGGACAATCGGCCGGTTGCGGTAAGACTGCGTTATTTGTAACCTGTTGGATTACCTGGATAACAACACGAAAGAGACATAAGTATGGCAGTTAACTAAATCGCTATTCTGTGATACCCTAAAAGAATATGCAACATCCCAAAAACGTCCTACAAAAATCTAAAAAAAAGGTAAGGTACCCAAATTGGGATTCTTTCTTATGCATTGCTTTGTAAAGGTGCATATATTCTTGGCAATAGATTCAACGAAACGTTTGCATATCTCAGAATCGTCGTTACTTAATTTAATTACCAATTAATCGCTTTGATTATAGCTTAATTCGGTTGTAAAACCCAACAAATAATTTTCAGAATATCTCTATTCTAATTTGCAATTAAGTGTTTTATAGTAATAGTGCGTCGAGCGATATCTATTGGTATAAATCCGCTTACGAGTCGTTTAAGTTCATTCCGTGAAAAAAATCCAGCTGAATTAAATTTTCAAAGGATAGCAGGTTTAGGCTCGTAGAGATGCAACGGTTTCAAATGCCCATTAGGGTTAAAACGGGCAAAAAAGTGCAAAAAGTCATAAAAATATTAATTTTCTATGCTTACCTGAATGATAATCTAATTAAGTATTGATATTGATTAACAAATAAATAATAAAAAAAATGATTAAGCTATTAATTTCTATATAGAAGAAGAATCCAAGTGTATTAAAACTAGTTTTTTGAGCCCTTTAAATTCAAAACCAATCGAAGACCTTCCCGTTTACCTCACTGAAATCTTGTTTGAGCTCTTCCGAAGCCGCATCAAAACATGCAATGGCGTAAACCAACGATTTTGGACAATGGAAGAAAGTCTTTGATCTTTTTTTAGGGATTATCTAATATAAAGAATTTAAAGGATAGCTCATTTTCGTTCGATACTGCGACAAGGACGCCGTGTTTTCAATGACGGCGAGTTTGTTAGTTGTTCCAAAAATAAAAAAACAGGTTTTTTCTGGTATCAAGAGTGGAGAATAAACTCCGCCCGTTACAACTAACAGCCCAGCAAACTTTATCTCTATTATACAATATGATAAAATACTAATTATTTGCAAAAACATTAAGGGGACATATATGTCAGACAAACATTATGAGCTTTTTTCCTCGACTTCCCCGTCAGTTTTTTACTTTACCTATCTTTAATACGCAAATGATTCTAGAAGTGAGTTTTAGTGCCTTACAAACATCAAAAGGACCACGCTGTCCATCAGTGCATGGCAAAGAAGGCATTCGTGGATTATTAATCATAGAAACGGGTCATTGGCTCGCAATACCTTCAGCGCATCATCGCTACACTACGGGTGATGTATATTATGGATCCTTAATTTTCGTGCCTTGTGTCCAGCGTCACTTGGCCTTAAAAAATTAGACTGACATCACACATGCACCTACCGTAAAACCGCACTGCAAAATAGCAACATAATATGTTAAAGCTCAATGCTACACAGTTGAGAACTGCAGTCATGAGAAATTTCTAACGCTAGAGCGTAAGAAATTCTTATGACTGCAGTTCCTTGATCAGTGGTTATATCCCTGCAGTGACTGTATTTACTTTCGCACATTGGCAAGGGAGTATTTTAGGGCAGAATCCAGCTTCAGGTCTTTACTCGCTTCCGCAGAAAGTTCTACAATGCAGTAAATACATCAAAAGCGGTTCGAGAAATCTAATGATCCAAAAGCGTATACTCTTCATTTTGTCCAAGCGTAACGACCCATTAGTATCATTTTAGAGGCTGGATAGATTTTGGCTGCTTTAACTAAATAATAGCGGCTATATATGCGCGAATGTAACGCTAGAAATAGTCTTTCCGAGAGTTTTCGAGAGTTCTCCGAAACCGATTTGACTGGTGCGTCCATCGGCACACGAGGACCAGTATGTGCTAAGGGCCCATTCAAATTTAAACTAGCAATATTATAAAAGCGCGAATGTTGTATGTTGGTTTCTGAGCATCGGGCAAAGATGTCTGTAGAAGCCATCATCAGCGTTGCCAGCATCATAAATAATCGTCTTCGCTATGCTAATGTAACACGTACTTATAGATAGCAGTGAAAAGAACGTCCCCGTAATGACGTCCTGTAAATGACACATGAATTCTAGCTAGGTAAGAACTACTTTGCGCCGTTCTTCGGAACAAGCCGCTCACTTTTGACAATAGTCAGCAGACCAATACGAGTTGCCAAAGATTAGACCAACATATTTTTAATCTGCACGCATGCAATCATAGACGTTACGGGGCTGTAATGTGCCATTTCTCTTCGTGGACGACCTAGCCATCTTCAAACAATTCGGTGCTTTGGTTATCTTCCGTCCTCTGTTGGTGGCAAGTGGATGCCTGATAGCATTTGCTATTGGCAAAAACGTTTGTCCTTAATGGACCAAGTTCAGTCTAGCTTTTAGTCCATTACTTTGATGAAGCAAAAATCGCACTAGTAACCAGGACCGTTAAAAAATAGTCCTATAATGTACTATAAAGTTAACCAAAGTCGTGATGCTACAAGGAGAGTAACTGTGTAGTTTTAATCACTATTTGAACTGCGAGAAGAATACATCTTACAGCTAGCCGGTAATGCAATGGCTAAAAGGCAAGACTGGTAACGTAGATATAAGCCTCTTGGGTCAGAATAAGACATGAGTGAAGCTGGCTGCGTCTAGTTTCAATATACAGAAAACTGCCATTGTTGGCCGTGTGCTCCCCTGTGGAGCGAAAGACGCTCATTGAAAAGATAATAGATTAATGGCAAAACAGTAAATCGTATCTTAACGATCTTTGTACTAGACATCTATTCTAACTATAATCTAGAATACACAAAGACACATTATTATATAATTATATGGCAATTTTTACTTTATGTTAACGTAAAGGACAATTTGTTGAAAGATGCCTTCTAGAAGAATGCGGTATATGGAGGTAACTTGCGTTTTTAGGTCCAGGGGCTCTTGACCTGAAAACGCTCTAATATATTCGTTATCATGAGAGCTTCATTAAGTCATCATGGACACTTATTAATTGTACCAGTCTCGTCAAAAAGGTCTATCTCAGGTCCCTGCAGCGTTTTCAGCGTCATAACCGCAACGCTTGCTTTGCTCTCTGAGCAGCAGGATCAGTTAGTTTAACTGCATCCAAAAATGTACCAGTTCTAGGCTATTTTACAAACATTTGTTTGGTCCTGGCTGAAACCAAGGTCAGAATAAACCGAAGGAAACCTAATATTTTCTTTATTTTCTAGACAGAGCCTAGAATTGTTCATCGGACAATACCCTCATAAACGTATTGACTGCTTTAACTGGAATGCCGTCAAAACTGGGCGATTTTTCACAGGTTATTTTGAAGCGCCTAGCAACTATTTAGCGGACACAATATTGCTTACCTGCATTCTAGCGGTAGCATTGCCTGTTTCTAGCCGAAGGTGTCCTTGATAACACTCTGATTTGTACCTTCGTGTTTTCAAGGACAATAAGAGCACAACGGCAGTGTCTGATATTTTATTCAGAAAAACTAGCATGCGTTACTTCGCACTCTCGGTGGTCCACTTATGTCATTGATAGAAGATAGAGATTGAGGAAAAAACCAGTAGACCTTTCAAAGATGCTAACTAATCATGATAAATTACGCTGCACAGGGGCGATGCTGGGCTGTGGACATCTATGTAGTCATGTTGCGGAAACAGGAAAGAATGCATGCCGAGTAAGGGGTTAAAAAAAAAGAATAATTTTGATATACACGCATAAAACAGGCAAAGCCAGATAGACATTATTTGATGATATGCAACGGTTGAAATATGATTTTGTTGTCATTTGAAGTGCCTCCTGAAGTATTTTTGATAGGGTAAGCGTTTGAGGCGTTACCCGAGTAGTCGCTGGATACGACCCTATGCCATAAATCAATGTAATGATGGTTAAGTTGGAGAACGACGTATGATTATGGTGTAGAGAATATACGATATGCTGAGTACATGAACATGTTCACATAAAATCGTGTGCGAAATGGGGCTAGCCTTGTGTGTGCCCCAAATGTAACTGATGTTCGAAGCGGTTCTTCAAAGTGAAGTTTCAAAGAATTGAGCCAGTTGTATTTCATAGGCGATCAATAGATACCAAGCGTTTCCATATAAGCACCGTTGCGTAAGAACTTCTCTTATTTTAATGGAAAGCTAGATGGAGAATTGGAAAAATCTGGACCAAAGTGAATACACGTCTAAGGTGAGGATCGTGCAACATAGACACCGTACCCCTCCCCCCTAACTAGAGGGGATACGGTGTCTAAGTTTAAAGATAAAGAGAACCCCAGCTGATTGAAAGGCTTTAGCTGCTACAAAGAGTGGCAGCTAGAACGTTACAAAAACTGGATTATCCTTGACTTAATATATCATGCGTACTTATTATAAACGGTAAACGTTTTTTCGTAAGGTACAGGACGGCAATTTGTGTTAATGAGCTTTGGCGCAAGGCGAGCAGACATGGGGTGAATCGTCAACTACTGGGTTTAAACCGTTCAGTTATCATAACGGAAGTATCCATGAAGCTTACTAAAACCGCAAATTTTATTCAATTTGTGTAATGTATTTTAGGATGTTCTCGATAAATCAGGCATTGAGTAAGTCACAGACCACGTTGGTACGTCATGAAAAACGAGGTAACTAGATAAGAAAGCAGCGGAAGCTCTAGCATGTGGTATACGCTGAAAAGCTTAATACTAATAGCTGAGATAAAGTTAGGAAATATGGTCCTATTTTGTAGCGGCTGCAAGAATTAACTTCGACCAAACTCAGCTGGCTGAGTTTTGCAATGTAAGTGTAGATAATTGAATAATTGAAGACGCTGTTTCATAAAGTTGGACAAAAAAAAAGCTTCACAAATGTAAGGCTGGGTTTGCTTTCAGATATCCCTGACGAGTTTAGGTAGCAAAAGTATTAATAAATCAATTTTTTTTTCAATTGTGATCTAAATGATTGGCTCGGGCTAGACGAAAGGTCAACTTGCACGACTGGATAATAAGAATCAGACGGCTTCCTCAGTTCGGTTGGCTTGTATGGCAGATTCTGGTGACTATTACCTAAGGGCCATGTCTTTAAATTGGTATGGACTGAAAAAGATTTGACCATACAAGTAACTTCATTAGCCAAGGTTGGCGTCAACATGTACATATAAGTTTTATTGCTGTATATATCTACTAACCTCGTAATTAGTGTGCTCATACCAGGGCTGCTTTCCATGTGTGAACACCTCCCACAGGACGACCCCGAAACTCCAGACGTCTGACTCGACACTGAATTTGCGGTATAGGATGCTTTCCGGCGGCATCCACCGGATTGGTAACATCGTTTGCCGTCCCACCTATAACTCAAAGTAATGCTGAATAACATTAGCGTTGATAGTTGCGGTCGAAGTTTGCAAATGGCAACGGCATCTACAGCCGTACGCATCAGGTGGCCTGAAGCTCAATATAGATGCCAACCAGCAGAGTTGAGCACTTAGACTATCTATGGTTATGATGTTAGGCAAGACTATCATGTATGCTATTCCTTTGATTTTAGCGAACAATCACCGTCACAAATATCTTAATTTAAAAAATCTCTCTCAGCCATTCCTTCCGTAAAGCTTCAAAACGGCTTGTCTAAATCTAACGAGTGAAATAAAAGAGGGATACGCAGCGGTACAAACAAAGCACGTATCCGTTTCCTTTAGTTCTAATGTATAGCATGTTCCTGGTGCAGCAAATACTACCCGCTGCCCCAAATGCAGATGACGCTGCCCACTACGGTTATTTGTTTGTATAACAGGAATCAATGTGTGTATTTATTCGCTGGAAATTGTGCAAACATGTCCGCGCACTGCAACTACGCCATATTCATTTTACAAAACTGCCACACGAAGCGGCGATTTCTCTCTATGCATCTGTAAGGTGAAGACGGTCCTGTAATGTGTTTTCGTCTCTCATTCATTCATTTAGGTTGTGTCCCGCATTAGTTCATAGATTGCCCGCCTTCTAGGTACGCAAAGGGCATTCATTGCTTCAATATGTCTTAATCAATCTACAGAGACTGAAACGATCCACTCCGTAGCTAACCTAACGAGGAAAAATGATTAGCCAAACTGACAAACGGAGTAGAGTCGAGAGTGTAGCAGGATAGGATGTCAATGAAAAACAATCTTGTGTATTGACAATGGACGATAGAACTACCTCCGATAGGTATCACAGGGTTTGCCATCCGTAGTTATTAATACACATGATCCATCGGTATACTCTTACATTAAGTGGCGTACTACGTCCGTACAAAATGGCGCCAACCAACATGTGACAACATGCAATCGTACACGATCAATAGACAGAAGGCTGCGCGAGGACGAGGTAATTACCCGTTTCAACAGTTGGCTATACTTGGATATATGTTCAAATCTTCAACGCCATCGCTGGAGGCACACTCCTAAGTTGCGGCCCGCGATAACGTTTTCGTATTTCGCTTAACAGAGACAGAATACGAACGAGGAAGACTGAACGTTGTCCGCCGAAACCAAATATCGTCGAGTAGTTGCGACCTCAGCGACTAATCTCCCCTAACGTTGCTGTACCCGCAACACCGTCGCCTTCTAGCTTCCTATGACGTAATTGTTTCTGTGATCCGGTTGTAGCAATCTGGTGACCATTTTTGACGTCAGTCTCATGGCAATATGCTTTGAACATTTCATACGTAAACAGAGGACAGTAACACTTTACGGGACAAAATAACTTTTGTTGTTTGATCGCCATAATTATCCATACTATTATATTATTAGAGTAAGATATTGGAAAAACTATGCGAATTGGGATAAAATTGTGTTAGAATCACGGTGAAGAGAATTGCCCCTGGTGCAATTTACGTTAATTAATTACTTTATATTTGGCCGTCGTGTTTTCCAAGAATGGCCACAATGCGTGCGTCGCTATGTAGACAATAGCGGCAAAGCTATGGATACATTGAATCATAATTTCCTTAGAGTTCGGTTTAATGATCTATCGTGGGTCATATTATCGTTTATAATTTTTTATTTATAATTTATATATAAAACGTTTATAATCCTTTGTAAATGAAGCATTTCTTCAAATATAATGTTTTAAAAAATCTTCCAAGTTAGCACAAACTTACTCAGCAGCATAGTTCGACACTATAACCTAACAGAGAAAGAATTGTAAAAAAAGAAACATTTCGTAAGTTGGGGACGACCCCGTTCGTTTTCGTCTCGAATAAAATTCAAGTTGAAAGTTCGTACGCGACGACGATGCAGAGGGACTTGGATGAACCATCTGGTGTCCCGTCATTATATATATATATATATATATATATAGCTTCCGCCTTTTGGCAATGGAGTTTATTGCTTAGCAAAGCGTCACTTTCTAGGCGAACGTTTACTTGGTCACTGCATGGCTGGTCATATAAAGTCAACTTTATGATAGTGATACAATGCTGTGCTTCGTTCCTATTCTAAAAATAGTATCCGAGGTCGGCCAGTGCAGATAACTTTCATATGCGTGATAGAGGGCCACCGATCCGGTTGTTTTTTGCACTTTTAAAAACTATAAAAAACTAGACACATTATACATGCGTTTTGCTGGCCGATAAAGTTTAGTAACGTCAGAAGATCGCTTCCCATGTCACTTCGAATATTTCGCGCTAATCAGAATAATAAGATTTTGAGATCTGCAAGTTAAAAAACGTATTCATCTTACTATATCCACACTGATATAATTAAGAGGATATGCTAAATGTAGGTGAATATAAAACTTAGAGGAGGGAGTTGTCGTTTGCATGCACTAAAAGCACAACTCAGTTTTCAACATTAGTACCTATAATAACAGCTGGTAATAGTAGAAATCCTGACATCGTGACATTTTAGCTTAAATCGTTTTTTTTTCCCTAGGCAACAGTTGACGCATTGGCCACACGACCGGCTCCCTGCATTTTTCCTTACGCATGTACATACACCTCACAGATAACACGTGCATTTAGTTATAACAGATAACAAGCAACTTGTTGGATTCATTGGACTGATATAAGAAACGACACTGGGACTAATTTCGACCCGATCTCACTGAAGATTTAGTTGGAAAATAACAAACAGTATCCAATACGCAATAGTTTTACGTCGACCGTCGGCAGAGCGGAATAACTTCTTTTTACTATTAATTGGGTTTCAGTTATTGAGAGGAGGTTCTTTTTTAGATCTATCTAAGTTGTTTTTTTTTCTACATATGCATGAATGTGATAACGAGAATATAGAGCTAACTCCGTAAGTCATTGTGGGCGCAAGTCTCGGGAGTTCGTGCACTGGTTTGGGAGGCGCACAGATCGTTCGGCTTATAATAAACAAACTAGATAATAAACCTTTTTTTTTTTTTTTTTTTTTGACATTTTACTGTTCAGAACGGGTAGTCAGTTGTGCCTGTTTAGGTGCACCCTTTTCATGAGAAGTCCACCAGGTCACTGTTAGTACTGCAAAGCACCGCAGTCTTGTTAGAACTGATAAATTTCGTTGGAGCGAGTCATTGTCGCGGAAACATCCCCCTTTCGAGAACGTATTGTCTTTTTTTGTGTATAGAGAGCTGTTAGCTTTTGTTCAATCGCAGTGGGATAACTATCATTTACAAATGAACGTTTGCCACGCCCAATCCCGTCGAACAATTTTGTCCCAGACATTCCTAATATAGGAAAAATTCCCCTAAAAAAAGGTTAGTCCATATACGGTTGCAGTGAAAGTAACGAAGGGGTAACGAGATGTATTGCTCTAGATCATCGTCGTTGAAGTTTAAAACAGCCTAGAGGATCAGCTAAGACGAGATCAGCTTAGTGGGGTCAGTTGCACTAGCCGACTTGCTTCGGCTCTTACTGCCGGATGGCCATTTTCGTTAAGTCATATTTTTGGCAATAGGCAAGATAGGAGGCCGTGACCGGGGGAAACTAAAGGACCTCAACGCCACATTCACAATGCCATTCGAGAACCGTATAAATTGAAGGTCCGCGCATGGAAATCTATAAGGGTATGCGGGGGTATTCGTGTATGAATCGTGTACTCATTTGGCAGCAGAACATAATAGTACCTTTTTTCCAGTGGCGATATCTAACGAAAATAAACAGGCACACTCGAGTAGGTTCTTGATTTCTGCAACGTACACGTTTTCAGACGAGTTTGTGCCTACCCGGAACGCAGTAGCTAGATTTGGTGACGTTGAACTTTCCCTGTTTGCTTCAGCGGCAAAAAGCTATTTTTTTAAGCTTTTCATCTCTGATATGCATGTGCATGTGCAGCAACACCTTGTAATGAGGCTTGCGGCACACAATCATTATCATACAATTAATACATATTCGGCCAAATACTTTATGATGCAATGCCAAGCAATGATACCCCAAGTAAGATTACTTATCTTTTAACTAAGCAAGCATTTTTATAAGCTTTTGCAGAAAGAGAGGTCGATGTACGGTAATAAGATTGAATCTACTTCCAATTAACTTTGAAGTTGCAAAATATCACTAAATTAATTTAAAAATCCTGTTCTTAACTAACGTAGGAAAGTGTTATACCGGCTCAAAAAAAAATTATATTACTTTAGGCAGCGATTTATTTAGACAAACGACGTCGATTACAAAAAAAACAGTATTCTAAATTTCTTTCTAAACGAATCGTTTAGATTACCTTTAAGCTACATAGAATTCTGTCCTGTATTTTTAGGTCGCTGCTCTAGTCGCCTATATCATGGAAAATAGTAATAATAAGGAATCTCTCAAACATACCTTTCCAGACCACACATAATGATCAAGAAAATCCTACTAAATGTTTGGTTATAGAATTTCTCCAAACACAGAACCCGATTGGTGATCTAAGAGAGAGAGAGAGAGAGAGAGAGAGAGAGAGAGAGAGAGATAGAGAGAGAGAGACTAGTCAAAGCATAGGCAAACTCGCTTATTTACCCTTGATAAAGTTTGTGCCTAATCCTGCGCGTGCTACAATTTTAATATTGTTGCTACTGCTTTTATTTGATAGTTTGTTTAGGTTTCTTTCAGGTATTTTCGCTTTACAGTTGTCCAGCATCTCTGCAAGGACTCAGCTCAAAAAATATAAAGCTTCTGTAGGACTTGGAGTATTTCGCATATACCCATACGTTCAACCAGTAACGTGTAGATAGCGAAGGCTCCAAATAGAATTACGGCCATGCATTTGATGAAGTCTCCGTCTGCCTGCACCGAATAAGACTCCTAGTTAATGTTTCGAAGATTCCGTATATATAAATATTTTCATGGTCAGCTTATCATGCACTTACTACTTGACCAGCAATAATATCACAACTGGCCTGCACCCTAACAGTTGTCATTAGCACACCAGGGTTACCGTCGCAAAGAAAGGTCTTTTACGGGATTCGTTTCTAGAAATAAAAGTTATTATTTACACCATAAAACCATACAAGTTACACCATAAAAAGAATAGATCGCATTGCAACATATGAGCCGTGGAATAGTTCACTTTTAGTTAAGGAAGCTGCAATTAACTTACACAAATTGTGAGCATTAGATCATGCATGGGCAACTTCAGAAGCGGTCATAATGAGTAGTCCTCTTGGGAAGATTATCGACAGAGTAAGTTATGAAGGTAGTTAAAAATCATTAAATGAGAAACGAACAGTTTAGTGGATGGCTATGAGGACCTTCAAATCATCTTCTGTGCTTATCATAAAGAAGATATTCTAGCTAACTAGAATCGCTTGCCGTTCTTTTAGGGTACTGATTTTTGTTTTCCTAAGTAACCCACCTTGAGCAGTTGTTTTGTACCAATATATATGTGTTCGTCTAATATAAACTTAAAAGAAAAACAGATAGATTTTTAACAGGGACGAACTATTTTCAGGCATAGCTTTTTACTATAGCGTTTCTTCTAGTCAGTCTAAGTGAAGTTATATGCAAGTCCGAGATCTTCGAATACATTGCGTACGCTCAAGTTACGCCCTTTTTCAAGTGTTCACTTCCCGATTTGCAAAGTCAGAGAATGCAACACGAAAATACAGGCCGTTAAATGTTTTCGTAATCAACACACGTTAGCTCTTAGCTGCTGGCAGATGATCAGGCGAGTACGTCCTGACTGAGGTGAGGAGAAAAAAGAAAAAAAAAAGGAGTCGTACTTGTCAATCGGAATAGATAAGAATGCTGCCGATGCACAAAGTTGTTATCGAAACGCTGCTGGGTCCGTCATGTTCCAAGAAACCGCGAAGGAACAAGCAGTTGTAGAAATAGAATGCTTGTTCAATGCAAGTATACGTTGCAAATTATATTCGTCCCCGTAAGGGCATATAAACACCTTCTAACCTTAATACGTCGCAGGCACATACTCCATGTAGTTGGAGTCAGTGTTGTAAAACACAAAATCATAGAATAGAATTTCGCATTGGAGTAAAGCTTCTACGACTTCTGCATTAGGGTTGCCTTATGAGTAAACGCCCGTGGCATCCTTCGAATAACAGCCACGCAAACGACGCCAAGCAGAGTACGTTCAAACAACATGGTACCGGCAATACTCGAGGCCATTAGGTGAACTGTTTTAGACAGCATAAACATGGTTGAACCCCAGCCTATTTAAGCTTCTCCCTTGGTCGTTCCCTTGTCTCTGCTTTCTGACTTCTCTTACCATAGTGCACGGAAAGGCGAAACGTACATAGGTACGCTAATAGCCGAAGGGCTAGTTGGCTCACAATAGGGGTCTCGATCTAAGGGCTGTGGTTCACGAGAGGACAGCGAATGCGGTTTAATGGACACGTCTGTGTATGCCTCTTTTGTTACCAAAGGATCGATCGGACGTGCCTCTACTACGTACTGGTAGAAAACACTTGTAAAAAACAAGAATTTAGGTAAACGTGTGATGACCCTATTTAAACGCGAGCTATGGACTTGTTTTTCCAGCTTTGGCTTGTAAATTGAAAAAATAGGACTGGGACAATTGTGCCTACTAACCCTACGGTTGCTGTCCCGATTTATGGTTACAAATTGTAAAATTCATTTCATTTCAACAATAATTTTGATTTTGCAAACATGAAACGAAGTAGTTCACTATGACTCACCCGGTAGTAATCGGTGCTATAAACATCCCGGCTCATGCCGAAGTCTCCGATCTTAACCCCCAATTTCTCTCCCACTAAACAGTTCCGTGTTGCCAAATCTCTGAAAAGCCAAAAATAAAAAAAGAAACATAAATGTATGTTAACGGCAATAATTTAACATGGAAGAAAAAACATAATTTGCAGCAAAGCAAAAGCATTATAAGAGACTGCTGACACAGTTCTAGCCAGTATGCAAATCACTATTTCCTTAACGAAAAGTGTATTTGTACATCGTGTGCGATTTGAATTATACCTGAAACCCCTTTTTCCTAAATTGCGGAAAACCGTTAAAGCTGGCTAGTGCCTTTGAATCCATTAAGCTTCCAGTACAAAATATTCATCTAGTAGACCATTTGGGCGTTTCTAAATGAGCGTTCCTTATTTGAAAAAAAAATCAGTGTAGATTTGTCACTGACAGAGATTTTTAAACCGGCGATCGTTGGCCTCTTCAATCAGATTCGTATTAACTCCGCCAGTGGGGTAACAAAGGATTATCCAAGCCACCCCACCGACACTAAGGCATCTATCGCGGTAGCGAAACAAATGTCTTAACTCATATTTACTTCTAGTGCTATGTTCGTATTTGCTATTGTGATTAGAAGAACCTGTGCACGAAGTGCTGAGAGGCAAGATACTCCATGCCGGAGGCGATCTGTGCCGAGATGTCTAGCAGATTTAGCCGCGATAGCGGACAAAACGGCCTCGCTGGCGAGGATACAACCAGCCCATCCGGTGCTCGGTCTCTGCAGAAAGAAATGTGTTGTTATTCGTGACTCGAAGTGTATTCCTACTCGAAAAATGCCTGCCCTTACAATTCACCACTTAATCATTAGTTATACCGAACTTCCTTGGCATCCTAAATTTTTGTTCAATAGCAAATTTATCAGATAGTCTAACATACGATGTCACTATCACAGCTTGGACGTACTCATCAATGATCTTAAGGCAATACGAAATTTATAAATGTTTTGTGGCTTTGAAACACACAGATGCCTACAGTGTCCGCCCTAAACTGTAAAAATATGTCATAGCGTATACTTCTTTACGTTAAACGTCTACTATTTTGCCAACGTATAATAATATTGTAATTTACACCGTATGAGAAGAAGTAAATTTAGTGAACGTTCAGCAAAAAAGCACTGTTTATTTACATGCAGGGCTTTCGGAATCGATGGAACATAATAGAATTTTGTCTTAACGATCTTGAAAAGTTCGACAAGAACGATCTCGTTTCAGTGCAACACAATGCCTTATTTATAAACTTGTGTGAAAAATGAAGCCCTTCAACATTTGTCCTTCTTGATGTTTAAGGCCAATTAAATCGGGGGCTTTGAAAGATTCTTAGCGCTTTTGCCAATTTAAAGAACGGCAACCCTGAGCCCACGTACGAAGGAAGGCTTTAAATTTGTCGAAGAAGCCCCGTGCTTTGTCTTTAGAAACATAAGAGGTTATTTCTAATGAGTATTCATTTAAACTAGAAAAATACACTATGAACATTTTTGCTAGTTTTATCAGTTCTACCAAGTTTCCCAGCATTCTCTCGACTGTCAGATGCGAAATGTACATATATCTCTATACAAGTCTTTCTCTCCTCGATACGAAACGACCATGTTCAATCGCTGTACATGTTTACAGCGAAAAGGCTTACGACATAATCGAAAAATCTTGCATTTGCTTTTTCTCAGTGGCGTACTTTTATGCTCCCAAATAAAGCCGGAAAGATTTTACCAGAAGCACCTACCTTTATGAGCTGGTGGACTCGTAAATACTATATAAAATGATGCCATTCAGTTTGAATAATAGTACATAACTCTGCGCGTTTTATTACCTGAGGAAGTTGTTGAGATCTCCATGTTGCATGTATTCAAAGAGCATCATGTACGGCTCACGATCGGTGGACACCCCGAAAAATCGGATAATGTTATGGTGCCTCAGGGCTGTTAGTAGTTCTGCCTCACGTTCGAATGCGGCTCCCTCCTCCCCGCTCTCGTCCTGTTCGCGTGGGAAATTCATCGCTTTGTGTTAAAGAGCAAAACTCTGCAATAAGCCTTTTATCACCACGTGCTTCAGTTGATAAATATTTAACAGATGCCTCCATGTTTATGTCTGGTTGGGTCTCATCTCAAGGATAGTCGCCCTGTTTAATTCCCTATCCATAAAATAGAAATACATTCGGTTTTCGTCAACCATGTGGCTGCAAACACACACACACACACACACACATACATTGCACAGAATAGTAGCTCAAGAATTGTTTAGGCAATAAATCTGACTCACATGCGATACACTAACCTTGAGAGTCTTTACGGCAACAAGTGTCGTGGGCTCAGAAGGTGTGAGATAGTCAACACTGCCTAGAAAGACCCGACCAAAGGCGCCTTCACCCAACAGCTGGATGAACGAGATCTTCTCGCGTTTGATGCGTATCACCTCTGGAAGTTGTATGTTGAAGTTTCATATGAGAAGTTTATCGTCTTATCCTAGACTAACTCTACGACTGGAAAAACAAGTGTTCTATTGCGGGGCTACCATCCGAGTTAAATTGCAACAGTGCATCGGTTATATGTTTTTACCTTATGTCCTTGAACGCATACCGGTCATATATAAATGGCGTTTGTTATTCAGGCGTACATGACCAGTGATTCGGCATTGGAAAATCAGAGAACCTTTTCGTGTTAACAGTTATTTGTAACGGTTTATATGCGTACTGTTATTAAGCTTTATTGAACAATTTCAAGATGCTTTCAGCTGCCACGGACACGACCGTTGAATTCTGCTTCTTAGAATAGTTTCTGCGTGTGACGGAGATAAATATAAAAAATGACAGGGAAAATTATTTGCATTGGAGCAGGTGAACATGTTCTGATGACAGAAAAAAATCAGAAGAAAAACTTCGGTTTAGCTTATTAACCGGTAAAGCTTAAATATCTTGTACAGAGACAGACTATTACCTAAATGAGGACTGAATTCTAGTCGAATAAGCTTGCTAAAGTGTACAGTATGCCATTAATCATAGTGCTATCAAGCAGAGCTCGGCTACCTCAAGAGCGTTATGGTACATAGTATTTCGCCCCTCGATCCCTTCCTATCAGAGTCATAACATCTATCCGATTGTGCGTTCTGTGTTTTGCGCGTGCGTACGGAAATAATAATTCTGTCGACGTTAGATCACAGAAACGAACCCGATAGACCCGGTAATTTGCCGAGTTGTTCTCAAATTTTCCAACCTGGTCCTATAACAAAAATGTATAGATTTGCCGCATTGTATTAGCCATTTGTATCGTCACGATCAGCTAAACTAAACCGTTTTCGCGTGTCCGGGCTCCAAATACAGACCGAATATTTTTGCATAACTAGAATTAAAAAAAGGATGAGGGAAATAAAATAACATTACGTTGTGATAAATCGATACCTTTTCGGTATCTACCGCAGTTATTATTGCCAATATATATTTTTGTTTCGTAAAGCATCTTTCGCCTTGTACGCGAAACATAAGGATAAAGTATGGCATGCTTGACAAGGGACGTTATCGACAATTCGTTGGACGCCTTTACCCGTGCGGTTCGAGTTGTCATTTGCTGGATCATCCTGGAATAGACTTGCAGGATAGTTGGGGTTATCCACCATTTTGGCAGTCATGCTCAACGGAATACTATCGCGAGACACGATCCGCAGCGAGTGTTTTGAATCTCCTGACATTGCACCACCTTGTGTGCGAGCGAGCATTCTGCAAAAGCACAAAGCAAAATTACCCGTCATAGCGACTTAAGTTATCCTCAAACATAGATTCCGAGTCAGTTAAATCTGTCGTGCTATGAAGTGCCTTTTGACGGCACAATGGCGTCCAGTCTGACCAAGAGATTTTAACTTTTCCACTGTTTTTTTGCCAGCAAATATAACAATAAGCCAATCTGAATAGTCATCATATAACAGAAGAATATCTTTTTTTGGCTATTCGCGAATTTCCTGTTCATTTTCGAATTTCTGCTTTGATGTTCATTGGCTTTCAGCCTCTTCGAAGCAAGTTTCCTTCTATTTGTGTTAAAAGGGGCGCTAAACTCAGATCAAGCTTAAAATTAGCTTCCCTTGGTGAGCGCAGCGAAATAACTTGATTTTGAAAAAATGAGAAAACGTTCCTAGGAACAGATCACTCCGATCTATTGGCAACGTATGTTAGGTAAGATCATTTTCAAAAATTAATTGACTGCAGTGCTGCACTTTTTCTATATAGATCTTCACAAAGTTTTCGTTTTGAGTGTTTGCTCCAAAATGTTTACTTTTCAACTCCTTTAATTGTCCTTCTCCAAAGGGCCACATGAAATCAGCTTGTTTGTAAAGTCACCTATCTCTGGCAGGTCGGAAGGCGTCGCACATCCAGCAGAGCAGAAGGATAATCGCATTGTCATCGTGTGGTGTTCGACGATTGTGTAGATGGCTACGTGAGGCACGTTTCGACTGCCGCCAACGTAGTGCGGCCAGCAATGTGGCAATCGTGAGGAGAACGAGCCCCGCCGCGACCCCGGGCCAGGCCCAAGAGAATCCTCCATCGCCGCTCATTGGTTCGTCTTTTGATACGAGATTGCTGAGCGGATCCTTGGAAGGTAATCCATCAAATGGCAGTTGTCGGGAAGATATATTCGCTGTACGTTCACATCAACACATGAGCATAAAGGTAGGCAAAAAAGTATACCAAAACGTCAAACGTCGCATGGATTAAAAGTACGATAAATAAATCTATAAGAGTACATCATGTGATTTACGTGTATATATATATATATATATATATATATATATATATATAATCAGCGTCCGTCGAACACGGTTTAGCTATCGAAGCACCACGAGCATTACATAAGACCACTCGACAATTTAGGTGTTTGCGGAAAAGCTATTTCTAAAATTATTCGTGCGCAATGGTTGCTTGATTCACAACGTATCGTTTAGTAGTCACGTCGTCTGGAGTCTTTTGAACACTTCTAAATAGAACATTTGAAAAACCTCATTTACTATGTAGCGATATAACTGCCTCGGATAGATATAGCATTCCACTCATCTCCTCGTCTTCAGCCACAGTATATAATACAGTCTTATACCTATTTTCAACCTAATCGCTGGAACGTAGCGCTCAAAACCTGTCCTTTAGTAGAACCAGATAATTTTTTATTTTTACGAAAAAGTTTGCCAGTTTAATGAAATATTTTAAATCATAGATCTATAGGTGGCTATACTCTATAAAAGCAATCATTTAAGGCCATTGTGTTCCACACAAAATTAGCCATTTCGAACAATTTTCACAGCTTCCTGTAACAATATCCATGTATTGTGCTATATCGATTAACTATTTCAGATATCGATTGGCTGCGGCCTTATTTACACAAGGCCCACGGGTAAGGCAATCTCATGACTCGCTTCCTGATATGTCATTCACGGCAATACACGTTATCCTAGTGGTCTAGCCGAGTCATTCTATGTATATATATATAAGGATGGACCATTGTCATGATGATGATGTCTTATTATAGAAAATGCTTCATTGAAAATGGACTTCGATGTTTTGCAGTGCTTCAATGACCCCATTCGAAATTCTTAGCCGTCGTTGTTTTGGCTGATCGTTTGTTTATTCGTGAAAAGCTAGAATGTAGCATATGATAAGTCAGCGATCACTACTTTCTATTCTGCTGTTCGAAGAACAAGCTTTTTATAAGGGATTCATTTCACAGCTGGGTTAGGTCAACCGCTCTCAGTGCTTCACCCGCTCAATTAGCCTAGAAATCTAGTAGCATAGTAACCTAGTACAAAAAAACAAACGGTAATTACAGCCTTACGTGTTACCCGTGGATGTGCGGACGACAACTACCATAAATCATACGTATACGTCAAGTCTTTATGGATTTTGAGCCTCCTAATGAGAACAATGTTAATAGCTTAGTAATAGTATTCATGTAAATGAGACTGGCCTTGGTTGTGTACAATGAATTTCGAATTAAAGTCCCGCCAAAACCAATAAATTTTGCACGGAATATTTATTGGGTTTGGCGAATATCGAAATAAATATTTGTTGGAGGATTGATTAGCACGTTCACATGAGATTTTAGCTTTTGTCAAACCCCAAATCATCCCATTGGGCTGGCATGTTGGGCGCAGCTTTAAACTTCGGAAAAACACAACGATGAACTTTCGAATTTAGACCGCGTCCTCTAATGAAAATCGCAGAAGCAATTGAATGCATCTTGAAAGATCAACCACGTTAACAGTATTTGTTACGCGATCAATCCTGGGCTTATACAAAGCATTGTCACATTCTCTCTTGAAAAATCAAAAAGCCAAGTATGATAAATTAAATGTACTACTAAATATCGCTGATCAACTATCTAAGAATTTCGCCTGAATGACTTTGAGCTAAACCTGAATAATCCAGTATGGATTGTCAAGATTGTTACAAGATCCGAACATATGTGTTACTTCGTTCGCTTCTATTCATAGCCGGAACAATGGATGCTACTCGTTCTAGTTGTCTATTGCGCTACGAAGAGCTCGTTTGGCAAAAGTCAAAGCCCTGTACGAATAGTTTAATTAAATTTATATGGGAGGGCAGCGTTGTTGGACAGAGATAGCTAATGGGCATCTCTGAATGCCCTGCCGCGGTAACTGCAACTAACAAACGTACTGATTTACATTTCAGCGATGGCAAACCTCATCACTAGATTATCATAACTAAAAAGAAGAGCGAATTAGGAAAAATGAAGTATTATTATCAAAAATAATAGCTACTTGTACGTCTGCCATGTCGTTGAGGGAGACTCTTAGATGAATCCAATAAGAACTTTTTCTGTTAGATTTCTAATAGGAGTATGTCCGTAATGTTATACCTAAAAAGAGATGAGTTCGAGGACTTGTTTGTATCAAAAAATCATATTAGGCTGATACGAGCGGATCTACTGGGTTTTAAAATGTAATACTTTTCGTATTGCGAGTCACTAGCAGACGAAATTTGATCGGTAAATAAATATTCCAGTCCTCTAGAAACGTGAGCGTGAATGAAAACTAGTTGAGTTTATTCTAGAAGAAATGATGTCGAAAGAAAGATCATCTTTTAATAGCGGTTGTAAACGCCCAATGGTCAAGTTTTTGCTTCTCGAAAACCACAGCGCAGTGGAACTTCATCGAGGATTGATGAAAGCATAAGACACAGGGGCCTCAAGCGAAAGCACGGTGCGCTGATGAAAGAAACATTTCAAATTTCAAAACATTCAAAAAACGGAGATTGAAGCGTTGAGCACTAGCGAAAAGGCGACTCGATGTCGGTACCCAAACGACAAGGACGCATTGTCAGAATCGACGAAAATTCCCACGGAAGCAGAGCTTAAGTTGAAAATGCGTGTTGTGTATTCCACGTGCAATTTGCAGAACATTACACATACGGAATAGCGTACGGCGGCTCTCTCTATCGCAAGTCAAAGAGGGACAAAGTGTGAGAATGGCGTCGCCCCGGAGAAATTGAGTTCGGTGGCCATGGCGGGCGTGCTAGTCATATTTTCAGTAGATATGAGATGCCGCTATGAGATACTCGCCGAAAGTGAAACAATGAAATAGCCCGTTATCTTGAGTCCTTCAAGAGACTCATGGATCGTTAGCACGGCAATCGAAAGCGCGTAATCTGGTTACCTAGTCAGAACACCAAACCTCATCGCCATGCTTCAGTTATTTCCTATAATTGTCCTAAAAAAAACAAATGGTGGGCAAGCATATCGCACTTCAAGAAGTCGTAGATAAAGAAATTACATATGGAAACGCGATTGGTAGGTGTATCGAAAAGCTGCCAGAGCGCACATGTTTAAAAACCTCCTTTCTAGCCCAGTTAGTTTAAAAGTTATTTAGTCTTTGCTTGTATATATACGCTTGCCTAATATAACTGTAAATGCTTAAAAAAAAATTAGTTTACATCATTGAACGGATTCTGAAAAGTGGCTATTGCTATAGTCAAAATGCCCAGAATAAGTTGCTAGCATACCTCTTCAGTTCATTGTTATGCAAACGTAAAAGATTTTTGAACCACTCACCGTATTGTCCCTGATAGCTTTTAGAGATGCTTCCTAGCGTGTTGTTGGCATGGACACGGTAAATGCCTTGATAGGTAGACCAAACACCATCGAGCATTAGTTGAAGAGAAGCTGGAAGTACATTTTGCCAAAGTCAACGCCGATCCGATCAAATAAATCTCAGCAAAAATTACATCATCTACTATAAATTAAATTGAAATTTCTATTGCAAAGATATCCAATATAGACTCTTTTGGCTCTTAAACTTTTCTATGTTCGGCCTTAAACAGTAACTTTGCTAAAAATCTCTTGCGTTTAAATAGTTGCTTTAAAAATTTAATGTATCTCAGGAGTTTGCTACAGCACAGCGTTATACAACAATTTAATTAACGAGATAATGGTGGATGTAAGTTTATTAACTCTTCTAACTTGTACAGTACTTTACAGTGCATGTTTATACTGCCGATTCACATTTCTGCCGTAATATATGACGAAAATTCAAAGAGAGAAAAAAAGAACTTGCTACCTGGACCGTATTAGATAAACTAGGCCTGTTATTGGTCGGGCAAGTTCAGCGTCTTTGACTTCTCTTGTTTGTTTCCTGGACGCTGGAAGGAACAGCTCGGTTAAGGAGTGGCTAGACAAAGCCATTACACTTTGTGTTAATGGGTTCCCATTTCTTTGCGTCCATCACTTTACGCCATCTGTTTCTCTTTGTCAAAGTAGGTTCCTATGGAACAAGTTGCAACGAAGCCGATTTATCTAAAAGCCACTATAACTAAAACCTATATGGTAAATAAATAAAAATATTAATGCTATGACAAATTAATAATCATATGAAATTACAATACTATCGGTATTACTTTTTACTCCTTAGTATATTATATAGAAATCAGGTTTTACTGGATTGTAGAAAACCAATGGTCAACGAGCGGATTTCAGCGGATATGAAAGGACATCTATGGTCGTTACGTATTTTTTTGCTTTTTTTTTGAATAGCTAACATAGTCTAGTGGCCAAGAAATGGCGACGCCTTCTTAAATTATGTGTGCAGCTAGACATGGGCTTTTCCAGTATATAAACGAAGCTATTTCATTGTATGACGATCAAGCAGGCTTACGTTCACAAACGTACCTTTCCACATGGCTCCTGTATCGTTCGATGTACGCATAAGATATCTTCCGGGAATGTTCGGAGGAGCTCCATTAAATGTGAAAGTGACGAAATATGGTGGAGGCCATGCGTACCCAACAACGTGGAAAGTTTGTCGGTTATCGAATCGGAAGGTACTTACAGTTGGCGGGGCTAGAATTAAAAACATTTGAAGTTAAAATAGTTAGATCGAACACAACCATAGTTGTCGCCAATAAACATGTAACAATACCTTGTTAATAAAATGCGCATTAGAATGCAACAAAAGGTTGTAATCGCGTGTTGGCAGTTGGCAAAAGGTACAGTTAGTTCAAAAACGTTTGTCTACCCTAGAGTTTTAGCTAAATTTTTCCGAGCGTTGAAAAAGAAGACTTTTTTCGAAGAAGGGTCGCCGTACGGTTTTTTTTATACAAATCCGAAATCTGAAAGAAGAATATTCAAACAAGACACAGAAAACCTTACTAGCTACGTCGATGCATGTCGGAGCTACTATTTGATCGAAATTTTGACATCATCAGTTCTGCTTACACATATTATGTTAACTAATAGCATTGTGCGCGTGATAATTTATTTCCTCTGCCTGAATATCTTACCCCATAGTTGGGGTCACCTCTTTTTTTAGCCTCGAAGACAGATTCTTAATATCTGTTCAGATTCTACTTTCCTTCACGGACTACAATTATAGCCGTGAAGTCATATAGTTCTACTTCAGTAGACTTAGCGGCAGGAAACGCACCCAGAACTGAATAAATTTTCTATCTAACCTACTTCTATTCTGATTTGCTACATGCTGTATCTATGTGCTCTGAATAATGGCCTTCAGTAGTTACATACAGCTATACGTTATATGTGTACAAAGGTTCTATATGTCATTCTCAGTGCACGATGTCAACCACATTTTCCTAATATTGACCTCAGCAATTAGTCGCAGGGATATCTGAAACTAGCCCATTCGTGTTAGACTTTCAAAAATTCCCGCCAAAGACCCCCATAGAATCTTGACGTGCATAAAATGGTTTATGTATATACATATAATACTGGAAACTACCGCTCCTGTACGTTTACAATTACAATGTTTCTATCTATCTTCTAACAATCTCTTGGTCGTCCTTGACAACTGCGCCGCATGTTCGACAATAATAACGTACGTATTTCACTCTATTTAAGTACGCAATCAATTACGGCGTCCGCAAAGCAAGATACATTACATGGTGAAAGTAATCTGCTTATTCAACACATTCTGTTGGATGCCGAAGCGCTGCAATAGTTTGAAGAACGATTGACAATAATGATATTTATTTAGAAAATCAAGGGCAGATATTTTGTTAAATGAATTGAGCTCCTACTCATTTTGCTAAAGGTCACTCTAATATTATTATGATTATCTAGGGCTTGTTGTATGGCGTCTCAAAAAACGCCATAAGCAACCGAAAGCTTGTATCCAAAAAGCCCTCTCCGTAGCGGATAACAATCGAATAGCTAATGAGTCGTAAAACCTAAGCGTCCGACCGGTGAATTCGGTGAAGGCAATTAATCGTCATCGGAATTAGTTACAGACTGGACAAAATGGTCGCTAGCCACCGAGAGTGGCCGCTAGATCTGCTGGACAGATATTATACAGTGAACTTTTCAATCCTATAGACGATCCAAGTCACATCGTTGGTATCTGTTTTCTATCGGCGAAAATTTTGTCGCTATTATCTCATTAGTGTTGCGTATGATCGAAAAGGCCTTCTTCTTCGAAAAGATGCGTGCCAAAAACGCAGAACCGACATATACGTCAGTTGCGTAAACGCCCCAATATTTTTCCGAACAGCTTCTGCTCTATGTTGTTTAGAAAAGGTTAGGATGCTACAAGTGAATCCCACGAAAGATATGAAATAAGCGTTTCTAGATTGTTGGTCAAAGCAATTTAACTAGCTTTTCAATTTTATTAAGCTACTGTGCAAATGCTTGAGTTTATGAAAAGGAAAATGAATGGTTATCTTTGTTAGTTATTTGTGGCACAGTAGATACTACATAGGAACATGCACACGATTCTTCACGGCTCCGTTGAGCTGAACAAACCGTCCGCGTACTTTCAACATCATTAGTTGTTTATGTGAAATTTCCTCAGGACTCTACGTAGGCAGTTAGCGTAATCTATTCCGAAAACTTTGCGTCACATTTCATGTCGATGCCACAGCGATGAGTACTCACTTCGTAATGTCTTATGCTCCGTCAGGTGAAAAGCCATCATCACCTAAAGACAATTTTCTGTTAGAAATGTCCTAATCCGTGACACATGTGTCCACTAGCATGGCCGACTGACTTCATTTTTCAACCGACAACTGCCTTTCCTTGTTGAGTTAGTTGTGAGCCTCGGAAGAAGAAGAAGATTATTTCAGTAGAACATCGTCAATGCTGCCTGGTATATCTAAGGGGCGGTTTTCCAAGGAGCACACGTATTTGTCGTGCTGTTACGACTTGTAGACACCGATGCTTAACGCATTTACAATGCTGACTAATGACAACCCTTTCTCCGAAAAAGCATTTTTATTTCCTTCTTATATTTTGCTTTGAATGTGAACGAGGCATCTCTACAGACGCAATTGCGAAGAAGGATGAATTTTGCTAGATGTCGCTTATCAGTTACTGTGACCAACCGTGGTCCTGTACAAAAGAAAAGCCGGAAAATATCTGGTTGTCATATACCTGTATTCTTTCCGTTCATATTCTTTATCAGATATTATCGTCCCTCATCCAGATCATGTCGATACAAAGTCCAAGTACTAAAATACAGCATTGAATCGAGTACGACGTGTCCTGCGGACCCATCCTGTATAAAAATGCGCCAAGACCTGCTGTCCCGCTTATCAAAGCTTTAATATATTGGGCTGTTAAAAAAAAGTAATGACCGTTTTTAAACCAAAATTGAAGCAAATACTTGTTATATTTGAAAACAACATCAACTTCTGCCATTTTTCTGCCAGCACAATGATCTTGTCACTATAAAACTTTTGCGATTCCGGGGCAGAAAATTGCGACAAGTGATTTTTGCATCTTTTCGTTGAAACTAAATTAATACCATTGAGGGAGCTCTGCGGAGACCGAAATGAACTATGGCCCAATGGTACAAGATCTAGTTTATACGGTGGATACATTTAATTTTCCCATTCAAAATTTTCTAATTTTTACCGAACAGCTGAAAGTGTATACGGTTCGGACATCGTCATACTGGCACACGACGCTCCTTCTGTTCACTAGCCAACATTTTCAATGGCTCGTCATAATCCCGCTGGTCGTTTACAGTAAAGGTCTGAATCACTGTTTCTCAACCCAGGCGCGCAATTCGTAATGCACGATTCCTTTCTAATCCCATTAAACGTATAGCATTTGGCGTCAGCCTGGGCTTTGCCACAGATTGTGGGGCTCGCTTTTTTACTTGCACATTATTGTAAATGTGGACCGTTTTTCTAACTGCTACCCGCTTCACAAATGGCTCAGTTTTGTTTCTTTTTGGTAGTGTTTTGGAGACGAAAATACGATCAAGGGGACCTGTTTGCGTCAATTCGTGTGCCACCCAAACATCGAGCTTCTTCTAGTAGCCAACTCTCCTCCTCAAGTTGTTTAGAACCGTTTGGAAATAGGCTTCTAATTCCTTGATCCACTTCCGTAGCTGCCGTAATAATTTCACCGACTTTGTCTATAGTTGGCCGACCATTACGAAAAGCAGCTTCTAGACAAAGGCTTTCAGAGCAAAAGGAAAGATCTTTTTTTTTGGCCATTTGTTTCGATAACTCATTTCGAGCACAAACAGCACAAATTTGTTGGCGGGCCTGGACAGCAGTCGTGTCTTTATCGTAATAAAACCGTAAAATCTAGCGAACTTTTTCTATTCTATTAGATTATAATGAAGGCGATGCAACAATATTTGCTACAGCCAAATCTTAACTTTCAAGTGGCATAAAGGCTGATCCGATATGACCGATATTACCTGAAATCTATGATCTTGAAGCGATTTAGCTAGAAATATGGTGAATACGTTTTGATAAGTCAATATTACCTCGATAGAGCCGATTTGGATTGTTTGTCTCTGACCAGGTGTTGCTAGGAGCGGGCGTCCCTTCTTCTTTCCTTCCTTCTTCCTGATCTTGTAAGAGAAAAACGGCGCTCTCTGGTTCTATCAAGCGGAGTTTCATCTGCCATCAGATAGACGTTTACCTATTTTGATCATTGGTTGTTTTTCCCTTTGTGCCGTGTTTTTTTTACCCCCCCCCCCCCCTCTTTTATTTCCAAAACCCTTTGTTGAAATGCTTCGCCAGTCATTTAGCTCATGGAAATCTCAACGTTGCAGACAGCAAGCCTAATCTGATTTGCACATATATGACAACGATTGGATATTCTTGGTATAAGTAAGCGAAAACCACTTCTTTATAGCTTCCAGACACCTATTGAGCCAACATATATACATGCTTTGTTGAAAAGTATATTGCAATTTACAGCTATGAAGAAATCGTGGCAAACAATTGTAAGCAATTAACTATAAACAAACCATTTGAAAGGCGCGCTTCTTTTCCAGATCCACAAATAGTCTATATGGTCCTTTACTTGTTAGCCTCGTAACTTCACTGCAATGACCTCTAAGCGCAAGTTTTTCCCGGGAACATTTGATTTTTGATTCCGTGGGCACCGGCTATGTTGACGAGTAGCTAAGAAGCAAGCAATTTTGACTATGTATGAACCGTTTTAAAATGCTGTTAATACGTCCGTCAGCTTTTCGAATTACGTGAGTTACTTGTTTAGAATATTTCGTAGTTATTGAAATTGGGACACAATGATGTTTTGAAAACAAAATCGAGGAATAAATTTGATTTTCGAAATTGTAGGCGTAAAACAGCACGCTTTCCTACCGATAAATTTATTGATGGGGTCATAAAAGTCATCCGTAAGAATTCCCCACATAAATCACATCCGTTTTCCTTATAGATTCTGGGCAATAAATATCATTCGTGTATTTATCTAAATTACGAAACTGACCGCGGCACCGACGTTGTTTATCCGCTAAAACTTTGCTAAGAGTTTTTCGTTGGTGCAGAAATGTGCGCAGGGTAAGAACTAAAGCAAAATCAAAGACAAGGTTCGCTGACGATTATTACGGCAGCGGTGTGAAATTATCTAAATGCAGAACGACAAAAGGCGTACGACGAGCTATGGACTGAGCATGGTAGAACGTGATCATGTCGCTAGTGCGCTGGATCCGTTTGCCTGATCTGTCGTTATGAGCTTATAGTATAAAGCCAACCGGTACATTATAGGCTAGTCGTTTTGTGACATGTTGACGACGCTTGATTTTGACAAATGCTGCCAGCCATCTTAATGGACCATATTGATACGCAGTGTAAATAATTTCCCCAAATTCCCAACCGTCTAAAGCCATCCGTACTCTACCACGCGTAACATTTCATGTTGCAAAATCTCTCTATTACACACAGAAATTGTGTATGATATAATGCAATCAATATATTCTACACTTGAAAAACTCTACTTGTATTTATTTTCTGATAACTAGTGGTTGTTTCTCAACGGTACTAACAATGGGGTACACTGAGTTGTGCAGTATGGACGCCGTGAGCGTTGCGGAGGTAATGATGAGGAAACAGTCTCTTTAGGTAATAAACAAAGTATCCAACAATCTATAATTAGATATGATAATAATATTTCAAAGGGTTATTACTCTTGCCTAGCCTATTTTGGATACATTGAGCCTTATTATTCGATAGTTCTTTTCTAAACTTGCCGCGGCGTCAAGATGGCGGTATATATATATATATCTATCAGACATAATCACACACTTAGCAGTAATTTTAGCAATTCGGATTTTTGAACATTGACCTTGAATTATATAATGATCGGCATAAGCAGGGGACGCTCATGTATTACATACCACATGCCTAATTCGCTGAAGCATAGCTATCGATTGGACAAGATAAGCATAAATGTCCAGCTGCTGACGAAGTAAACGTTCATTTGTTTCTGATATCACCAAAAGGTACTCACTGCTACCTTATGATTATAAAAGTAGACACAAGATAATAGGGTTTCCGCTAGCTTCTTCCAGCAGTTGTTTCCAGTAGTTCTTCATCTGCCAAAATCGACGATTTTATTAATGTAAACTTATCAAACGTTGTTATACACATAGAACTTGTTCTATGCTTTAGACAGTTAGTTAGCAAATCGGCAAATCTCGTATAAATCGGTATAATTGGCTTCTCCTCATTCGGTTGGAACGGTCTAGCGGTTTCAATTTGTATTACTCCTTCGCAGGTGATGGTCCTTGGCTAAATCGAAGTAGTTCTGTGCGATCGATTAGTCCCCAACCGTAACTTTATTATATTGCTATCTGACTTACCTTTGATTTTTATTAATTTAATGAAAGCGTCATTTTAAATAGATGTTGATCGTGATCAGATAGAAAAGAAAAAAAAAAAAGCCTAGTTTCATCACTTATTGTACTCTTCTATGACAAGTAAAGCTTTTATCTACTAGACTTAAAGGCGCTGCTGGTTTAAAGCAAAACAAACAAAAATACACTGTTTATGTAACAAGCAAATTTCACCAGCATCATTTAGCCTACTAACCGAATACCGTAACATTGATGGGCTTCATGTGGCCATATACGACGTTTTCAGCGATACACAATAGAGCCTGGTTCATTCGTACAGAGGCCCTTAACGTCAGCCGACTGCATTGAATTTTCCGAAACGGACTGTAAAGGTCAACACAAAAGTAAATGGAGAAGTTGAACGGTTATTGATGCCTGTTAGCCATTAGGCGGTCAATTTAACTTAACGGAATGTTGCGCTTTAAAAATATGTATTTACAGATTTTCACGGTTACAATTTGTTGCAGGAACTTAATGTTATTATCTTTTTTTCTTTACACTACATTATAATTAACATTGATAAAATTAATTCACCTCTTATCGATCTTGCTCGAGCAGTCATTCGACATGTTGAGGACATAGTCAGGTCTCGCGAAACCATCTGCCCATTGCCACCTGTAAACATGTTATTTGCAAACACGTAAATAGCCGAATGCCCTTTTGCATTGATGCTTTTTTCTTCGAGTAACCATTGTTTCCTATGGGCTTCTTAATGCGTTTTTTTGATAGGCCTTACGGGAACTGAGAAGGTGAATTATAACGTTTCGAAACGTAGAATTCGTTATCGAAATCCAAAATATTTCAGTAATCTTTACTGGTTCTGCACGCACTTAGCGGTGTTTATTTGTTCTTCGGAGGCAGGTGACATTGATTGAAATCATGTTTGATATTTGCCATCAAGGGGCAGATGTAACTATGACGAAGTGCAGTGCGATCCTTTAAGTGTTTTCCCAAACTGATAGGCTTATCTAGCGGATCTAGGCGCCAGTAAAGCCGCCTGAACTCTCCTGACTTCCCAAGACCCTTGTCAGCACGAAGCTGTGTTTTCACACCGCATCAAACCATTGTTAATCTATAGAGGAAGACTATTAAGCAAAATAGTTCATTTGCAGGGGGAGAGTTGATAGCACAAATGGATGGGCATACAAATCTACTATGAAAAAAAATCGTTAACAAGAGCATCTTTTCAAGTTCAATCTTATTTTCCTGTCTAATGTAGATAATTTGTGATAAACCACCTGGAGTCAGAGATACAATGAGCGATCTGCATAACGATGGATATACATACATGTATGTGTATATGTATACACATACATGTATATCTATCGTATACACACATATATGTGTGCGACAATAATTTGACAGAATTTTCTCATCCTTACTTGAGATCAGGCGTGGGAGTTCCGACGGCGGAACACTCGAAGCGCAGTGTTTCATTCTCCTGTTGTGCTTTTGCAGTTGGACTCACATAGGTGATGTTTGGAGGCTCTGTAAATAGAAAACCAATCGATGCCATAAGATCATACAGCGACAAGAATCTAGAGAACCGCCACCGTTGAAGATCGAGTCTATTTTATCACTGATACTATCTATATCGGTACGAGTGGTAGAAAGTATCTGATTTAAAATAGACCCTTTCGCCCAAACTATAGAACTTAATAACAATATTCCACGATTAATCCCACGCAGAGAAGCACCTTAGGACGATAAATAAGGCAGTTTTTCTGCCCTCTGGTGTTCCACTGATTAAAAGATCATTCCCATACTTATTCCCATGAGGAACACTATCTGCCTGGAGCAAATAAATTAGAACAATATTATTCCGTTGATTGAGATATGATGTTCTTCAATGCTAATGTACAAACTCAAGGTAGAGAACGCCCAATTTCCCATTTAATCTCATACTAGGCATGATTGTGTAGCAGATAAACAGGATACACGGTTTTTTTCCAGGATTACAGCCTGGATGAGTGGATTGTCTCATAACGAATATAGTAGAGTTCGCAGTTGGAAGTCGTACTTTTTTGCCTCTACGTTACCTCGTATAGGTAAGAGAATGATCCTGTCAATGAATGAGTTGAACTAACCGCATATATTATCTTCGTCATAAGCCAGGTCACTGAGTCTTGTGTGTTCGCTGTCAGACATTAGCGAAGGATCTTTCCGGCAGCGAAGCTGATCATCGCCCACGGTCCCGTCAGTGACTGCCAACCAAGGCACCATCGAAGATAGCCCATCTGGTCCCTGACGCAGAAATGCCACGCTACAATTACATCGCAGTGGGTTTCTTTGAAGAATACTGTCAATCAATGGAAAAGGGAGAGATGGGAAAAGGGGTACCGTATACATCAGTAAATCAGTGATATTTATTCGGGCCCGCAAATCTTATTTGTTGCGTAACTGAAACAGTGAATTGCAAGCAACCGCTCGTGTTCATCAGCGAGCAACAGAATTTTCAATATGAGTGGTTATATGGATAGTAGTAGTAAGCTCTGATCGTTTGAATTTTTTTAACAGAGAATTTTTTTGCGGTAACTAGAGATAATGTAAGGGCCTGGGCTTACAGTTTGGTAATGGTCTGGCGGTTGAAAACGGTCTGCCAGGGAAAAAATTCCAACATGTTTCCAGGCAGACGTCTGAAAAGTAAACGGTCTGTGTCGTAAGGTTTTCAGTTTTGCAAAAAAATACACTGGTATATTATACATGGCCTATATGTAAAAGTTCTTCTCAGAATTATCGCTAGCAGATTTACTCTAAAGTAATACGTTTTTCTTAAGTTCGAAAAATTCAATATTTCCGATAAGTAAACATATAGAACATCCAGGAAAAAAAATTATTGACTACTCTAGTTTGTGCTTAATCACGGTACAAACTTTAAGGCATAGCGTAACTCAATATTGCAATAGACTTACCATTATTATTTTTATTATTACTGTGAGATAAATAAGCATTTCATTGACGATTTTACTAGGATCTTCTATTAAAGGGTATATTATAGACACACTGTGAAATATGACTGATACGAGTTTCGAATATTATGTTTGATGGAAGTTAGATACTTACATTTCATTTAACTTCTTATTGGCGACGAAGGCCTGTTCGTGGACGTATTTGAGGCCGCTGTCACTGATTTCACTGCAAATTTTTATAAATAAATAAATACAATTAAATTAGGAAGTAACGCAAAACTAGTGCACATATGCAAATATGGAATAAAACGGAAAATTAGTAAAATCAATTGCACTACGGGACCTTTTCTTGAGATTCTTTCCGTCAAATAAAAAATCTTAAAAAAAACTATCGACAGCTAGCAGGTAAATCAAGATATAGATTCAATCTATAAATTGTCTCAAAGTCAGTAATATTGTTTCTGCAGAGAATCTTTCTGACGTAACGACCCTTTCGGTTGCCGCCGGTATAAAACAATTACATTGCAAAATGTTAACTCAGGGCAATTAGACAAAGCTTCTCATTTGTAAAAGCCTCTATAAGCTGTTTACTCCCCTAGCGGGTTCTATACGACGGTCTGCTTTGGCTCGTTACGTTTATTCCACGTAACGTCGGAACTGTTATTACACAATTAAACATACTTACGTAGGTAACTAGATTTGAATGCATTAATAAAAAGTTTATTGACGATTTTAAAATTTCTAGAAAAATACCTAGAGACCCAACAGACCCCTTAGCAACACAAAAAATAATATATTCAAGACAAATGCTAAACAAAATATGTAACTTATACAACAATTTCAGTCGTTTATTTTCATGTATTATCTACCCTATTGGCACACACGCGTGCCTGCCCTATGAGCAAAAATAATATCGGGATATAATATTTAGTCTAACTTTTATTGATTTAAATAGATTTTATGAAAATTATTATAGCTATTCGATACGAATGCTGGACTGCTGGCGTAACACTATAAAACCTTAACTTACATTTGAGCGAGCTGCGTGAAATTCGCAAGTTGTTCCGGTGTTAAATGTGTGAAGTTTCTGAGGCCATGCATTTTACTGTAATGGAAAAGAGAAAAAGAATAGTAGTTTAAGTTCCAACTATATATGTATATATCTGTTGCAATTCATACTCGTTAATAGCTTGTGCGCAGGTATCAACAAAAGTTTCAAACGCTTATTTCTGGTCATGCTAGTGATGGAAAAGTTAGCCACTTGCTACCCCCTAGTATTGTAAGTGGTACCACTTTGAAAATCTTGTTCTTTTCGACAGACTTGATATATAATTTATTATATAGTATTATATAATTAAGTTGGTTAACTTATTAATTCACCAAGATAATTTTTCAGTGCGGTATTACCAGTTACTAAAGAAATGGACGATAACGATCCGATAGTCACCAAGATAACTGCTATGATTAGGTCGTTTCTGATTATATATAGCCTGAAATGTTACTTTCTGCATTAGCATAAATATATCTATAATTGAGCAAGCTGAAGTTATATAAGGCGCGTATTCTTATGAAAAATCTATTAATTTTGTATATAGGTTTAAAGTATTATATACGTTAATTGACGTAAAAATCTCTATAGTGAGTGAAGGTATTGGAGTTCGGAAAGTGGAATCCATGGACAGAAATTAGCCATTGGGCAACAATCGTTTTTTGGCTTTTTTTTTAGTAATTTTTTACGTTTTAACTAGATATTCGCTGTTTGTCACCCAATAGCATACGATAGATACGATTCCTAATAGAGTATGTTTGTGTTTTATCCAAAAAGTAAACTGCTTGCACTCGTCATACAGAGAGGTGGAACTGTGAACGTTTAGTGAGAGCCGTTAAGGGCTGTAAGACAGAGTGGCAGGTTCTGAGTGTTCCCTTTTTCACAGAGGAAAACCTCTTCTGTTAGACGACAGTGCGTGCGGATATTTCCAAAGACTCGACGCATTACCTTCTGGTTGGTCTATTGATCTGATAAGTCTTGGGCGTGATCGGATATCGATCTTGTGCTGCTGCTGCTGCTGCTTATACACTTTGTATTCAGCATAAGAATCGAATCGTTGAGAGAATAGGAGTCTTTCAGTCCTTTTCTGGCCGGTTTGCCCGTTCATTCGTGCAAATAGGTGTTTGATGTTCGTTCTTCAAGGGCTTCACAATTGCTAGCATTGCGATGGAGTTGACTGCTAGTCATTTCGGCGGGGCTGAACGTCAGCCGTCTAGCGGCACAACGACTCATCGACATTTGTAACTCATAAAAAATCAATCCCCCATCTAACCTGCTTTGCGTTGTTGCTAGCTCGTTGCCGCCGCTTCTACCTAGCAAACGCTATCTGGCCAAGCATGAACGGCGCCCTGTTTCACACATGTATGCTGCCCATACATGTCTGCTTGTACAGTACACACACGCACACGCACACCCACACCCACACGTAGTCGCCATCTTTAAATATAGCTAAGCATTTGCATAGCTGGAGGTAAAAATGCAAAGGCAAAGCTTCCATCAACTCGTTTAGCTATTTATCTAAGCTGGCTCATGTATCTCCCGTAAGTACTCCGAAATATCAGGCCGAATTCGTTCGGCGGTGGCCCTTGACACACCTGGCTTCGCTAAGTAGGTACATCGCTGTCGTTACATTTATTCTAGCGTGTCGGCCCGTGCTACGCGACCGATAGGCCTTTCTAATAATAATAAGAATAATAAAAATAGTTCTACAACTACTACTATGTATTACTTCATTCGATGTTTGCACCCTTTTGCCATTATGTAGCGAGCCTGCGAGACTGTTTGACAGTTAGTATAATTGGTTTCTGGTTCATGCAAAGATGCGAGTGTCTAGGCCACCTCGGCCAATATCCTGGTAACTCACGACTATTTCAGACATGACTAGAAATCACTTTGGAGCACAACAGCCAAAGTATGTTAGTGGGAAGGAACTGGACTGAAATGTTCCATTGGACACTAAAACCCGATGTATGACTAGAATATGGCTTTCTATATTTTTGTTTTTAAATAATATGGGGTTCAATGAAACCGTTCCATTATTTTTTGCTAGAATATATATCTTTGAAAGATATGTTCACCTTTATGAGTACGGTTTTAACAAGCAGTTTGTTTGACACTTGCTAAATATAAAAATCGCATCTTGAGGAACTCCAGAATAGATTTGAGTAAGACTGCATCAGACCAATGATTCAGTTTTGTATCTCTGCCGTTGGATGTTTTTCTTCAAAGAACCCGATGATACGCAGCCTGCTTCGGATTACAATAGGTGTACATGAAGGACAGGTTTACCTCATAATATATGTTGAAATAGGTCGCTTCAAGTATAGTATATATGCATGTGTACAAGCTCTACTTGTCATATGTATCCTATTTGAGGCAGCCTATTTTCTACATCTGCAAAATATTGAGCTAAGATCACGTAGCTTGAAGGGGATGCGCAGCGGGCAGTCATTCATTTGTCTGTACCAGTGCAAAAGCGGCCATTTTCTACACGAGAGTATACATACATTCGCTTTCTACCTAAACCCAATGAAGGCCCTAACATGTTGAAGGTTAGCGGCCGCTAGCCAAACGTACAAACGCGCTGACGTGTTGGCGTGCTGAAACTGCCTCAGTCTGCCTGTTCGCCTATCTTTGGTCGCTCTTCTAAGCTCGTGACGTCGCCAACATCCCACCGGATACTTGTTTGCTTCACCGCTGACCACGCTTGACCTTTGTGTTGTGCCTATAGCTTATTGTGCCTGTTGTTATGTCAAGGGAAAGGTAGCAAAGCTACGATTGGAGCCCGAAGGAAACCCATTAGTCAGAGTTATATGGTTGGCGATTATTTCTGTTACAAATACGACGCTTGATAAAAAAAAAAGTCTGCACGCTTACACCCTTGCTCCCCCGTCACTATACAGAAGACCCATATCAGAGCCTTATGATAGTGGCATTGATGGCTACGAAAAGCTATCTAGCAGTACTGGTGATGTCAGTATTAATTCTCTTATTGCGACCATTGTGTGTGTACGACTGAACAACTCGAAAATTAAAAAATTCAGCCGGCATGCAACATTATACTTAGTTAGGGTAAACGTGATTTCTGTTATTTCAAAACAGCGCGGTGATGACCCTTAGCAGTGGCAGCCGCAGCACCAGCAATCGCGGGTTGAACGTTTTCAGTTGGTTGCCTTCGCAATAGGTGGCCGCCCCACCGAGACCCATCACGAATGCCACCGTTAGTGACCTGTTATTAATTCGTCCTACTAGAAAAAAATGGTCTCCATTTTGTTTCGGATCATCCTTTTGTTGTCTCGAAAAATCACGTTTAATGGCCTTCAAGAAATATTTGTCTTGTACTCTTTGCTTAACTTCGAATGAACTGTTGAAGACAGTCTTAAAAATATGCATTCTATTAAATCAGGCCAATCGAAGGATCATTTCGGCCACCTTTACCTTTGCGATTTGTTCAATAGATTTAGCAGTAGGCCTGAAACTGGACCCGATTTTCGTTTGTTACACTGTTTATGTCCGTGTTGAATTCGCTTGTGCCAATTTCCTACATCTGAATCAGATCACCGAAAAACTATATACACAGCGGCTGATTTACCGAGCTACCTTTAAAGCTTTCTCTGCAAATATGAATTAATCACACCGTCATTGTGGGTCCTCTGCATGCGCCGGAGAATATATTATAGATAACTGGGTCCCTATTATGAAGTGTCGTTCTTAATGGCTTCATCGTATGCATCAGCTTGTCCGCACGGCAGAAAAAAATCATTTTTATCCAAAATCGATATTATAATACTATGGTAATGTTTTTTGACATTAACAGTGAAGTAAGGGATAAATTTCAATATAAACAATATAATGGATTTGGTAAACTTTAAAACGGGTACCTTACTGTAGACTTTAAGGGTCTACTAACGTAAGGTCATAGTCTATGTATACAATGAACTGATCCACTGACACAGTGACTCGACTATTTTTATAGGCTAAAAAAACGCTCAAGTGTAGCTTCTAGAAAAACAAACGTTTGTACGTAGGCGGATTTTCAACATACGTCTAGTTTATGATACAGACTTTGTTCCGGACGATTTACGTCGACGCATTCCGTTTTAAAGGACAAGCGACTTGAAAACAACGCCATTAATGAATCGTCTCCCTAGATTCTGTCTGTTGGCTGAACATGAAAAAATAAAGGCCACGAAAAATCTAAAGAGCATAGCACTTACCTAGTCAAGCAATTAGGAGACGTTCAGGAAATTTCTGAAATCTATTTATTATTATTAGTAAATCTATGTAGATGTTTTCTTCTAATAAGCGAAACGCTTTAACTGCTGAATACATGTAGCGGCATTTAGATATTCTAGTGACGACGTAAGGTGTTTGATAAAATTGAGGCGTCAATGTAGAATAGCGGGATTGGACCATTTCGTAGACGTATACAATCCTAGTAAAATTGTCAAAATACGACCCTTTACTAAAGCATATATTTGCTAATAAGTAGCTGTTTCAGCCATCGTCTTGCAATCTAATAAATGTACCCCCAAAAGGTGTCTGGTCACAATAACATATCAGGGTAAACAGTTGGCTGAAGCCAGCACTTCTACAAGGAGCAAACATCCATTAAAAAAGAGCCTTCCTTTACCACTGACCAACACTGCTGCAAACCTCTAGGAAACAGATACAAGGTTCGCAGCCCTTATAGCTTCTCCTTGATTTGATCCGAACCCCAAATCTCTCGTTTGGAGGAATGACCTTAGGCATATTCGAAATAAAAGTCACATGTTCTTCAATAGCAACAGTAACAGCCCATTCAAGAGGAATCCTTGAGACTGCTGTGGACAAAGGGTATACGAACGTGCTAGGCATTATGAAGATGCATGCGTGAATACTCTTGAAGTGCTTAGTTTGCAAGGCAATGTCTACATCTGCTCTTAAATGTGCAGGCAGCAATGATGGCCGGGAAAAGTTCCGTCTAATGGACGGAAAACGTATCGAGTATTTCTAGATATGGTAACATGTCTCCGTAGTTTCGTATTTCGGTGACATTGTGATAGACACGTGGTGGT